TCCGAGACTAATCAAGGTCTCCAGTGCCTTGGTGTTGTGAAGAGGTGACTCTTGAACGTTAAGAGTCAAGGCGGAAATTTTATCGCTCAGGGTACCGGACGCCATAATGGTCGAGTAGAACTTGTGGGAAGAAGAAGCAGATGCTCTCTGAGCTGCCGCATACTCCTCATTTTCCTCCTGCAGCAATTTGTTGGCCAGCTCGTGAACGCGCTCCATCAGGTGGCGGGGCAAGGCATTCATCTGTTTCGTGTCTTTGGCGGCGGATGGCATGGGGATATTGTACCAGTCGGACCGAGGAAGAACATTCTATAATGATCATATTAGCAAAAGCGCTGTGATGCTAGGGCGTCCACAACTTACCAGCTTCAAATACTCCTTAGGTACCGTAGCTTCGTACTTCGGAGCGGGAGCTTCCTCGATGTCAGATTCCGGCCCACTGCTCTCTGCATCGTCCTCGCTGTTCTCAATATCATCCTCGCTCTCTATCTCCTCTTCGACGTCCTCGACTTCATCATCTGCTAGATCCTCGGGCACGACGTGCCCTGAAGCCTCCAACATACTAGAGAGCTGCTTCCGAAGATCATCGTCAACCTTGCCGGACTCGCCCTCAACCTCAGACTCGGAGTCGACACCAGCAAGAAGATCAAGATCCTCCTCGGTACCACCCATGGCTAGAATTTCTTGGCGCAGTGTTTCGTCGTCGTTGCTCTTCTTGCCAACTTTAGGCTTTTCTTGCTTGTTCATTCCACCCTTGTTCTGCTCCCGAGCAATCACCTCGCCGCTGCGATCCCGCTTCTTGCCTTGCGCAGAATCCTGAGGGCGGCTGGGCTTGGCGGGATATTGCTTTCCTTTGTTTGCGAAAGCATTGGCGGTAGGAGCTGGCGGCTTGGTATTATCCTTCTTGCCTTTCCCGGCGCTCTGATTTTGGGTCTTCAAACGCTGTTCGATTTTCTGTCGTAGGCCCGCAAAGGCGCTCTCGTCTGGCATGAAGGGCAAAATTTCCGCAGCGGGAGCTGATGTGCTCGTCGCAGGAGCAGCCTCAGCGGCGCCCGAAGAGCGCTTTCCTTTCCCTGTAGCCATGGTGTGTTGTGATTGGGGTTGAATGATGGAGGAAAGAAAATTAGACGGAGAAATCTTTTGCGGCGGGTTATCGGGCGCTCGGACCAATGCGATAAGAAACACCGGAGAAGGGACAACTCGGCTCGCTCTACAACTTAGTTCGTGTTCAGCCAGCAGTTCAATTGCGAAAATAATAGATTTCGACGCTTTGAACTATCTTGATCGATGATTTCTGGGCTGCGACCTCTGTCAGGGCGCATTGCCGGGCGGCGGCTAGCGTTAAGCCTGCGCATTCAGCAATGCAATCTTCACGTACGCGCTTCCAAAAGATTGACTGAATGTGATTGATAGTATGTACTGACTCATTGTAGGTTGATGGCAGAAGCCGTGTTTCAAATATATGGATCCCTACTGGTGGAATTTCTAAGAAGCCCGTTGATGGTGAAAAGGGTATGCCATGCATAAACCCGATAGCAATTGACTATCACCAGATGTTAACAGAGATCTAGAGGATGCCAATGACCTGTTAGTCCGAGGTGGATTTCTTCGACAGGTGAGCAGTTAGATCTTTATGTCCAAATAAATATCTCTGACGGCCCTCTAGGCATACTCTGGAGTGTTCCATTTGCTCCCACTTGGCCTACGTGTCCAAGATAAGCTAGAGCGTCTGATTGACAAGCATATGCGCTCACTTGGTATGGAAGATACCCAGTGTTTATCATGGGATGGCAACTAAAGCGAACTTTAGGTGCATCCAAAGTCTCTTTGTCTTCTATATCCTCGCAAGAGCTCTGGGGACAGTCTGGCAGACTTAGCGATGGCTCAGAAGTAGGTCCACCATTCCCAATGCCTTGCATCATGCCACTAACATTAATCCTAGCTATTCCGATTCAAGGATCGGAAAGACACTCCCTTTCTCCTCGCTCCAACACACGAGGAGGAGATTACAACACTCGTGGGGAACCTGACAACGTCATACAAGAGCCTGCCTTTGCGGGTGTATCAAATCTGTGAGACTCTTTGTTCATCTATTGGTTCCAACCCTCACTGACGAAATTGAAAATGAAGCGCGAAAATACAGAGATGAAGCCCGGCCCAGGCAGGGCCTACTCCGTGGGCGAGAGTTCATCATGAAGGACCTCTATACATTCGACTACAGTGTCAGCGAAGCACTGAAAACATATGACGCAGTCAAAAATGCCTACACGGAATTATTCAACGAACTCAAGATTCCCTACCTAGTCGCGGCAGCAGACTCGGGGAATATGGGCGGCACACTGAGCCATGAGTACCACTTCATCAGCCCGAAGGGCGAGGACGAGGTGGTCAGCTGCTCCCACTGTGACCATGTCTATAACGAAGAACTCGCAGACGGCAAGACGCACAGCTCTGAGGAGTCGGAACAGAACACAGCACCTGGCTTCCAGATAGATGATGCACCTGTCGAAGGTGGACCAACAATCTCAACTGGCATGTGGATGGCAATCTCTCATGATAGCAACACCATTGTGCGGAGCTGGCACCCCAAATTCTCGATGCAGGACGGCGCGACAGAGCCCGTTGAGCGCCATGTTAACTCCCACGCCGTCAAGGCGGTGGCAACCGCCGCTGGCATTGACCTCGATCTGAGCGTGGAGAACCCACTGGAGCGATGGACCGCCCACGTAAAGGCAAACAAGTCATCCACGAATAAGCCTCGTGTGTTGGATCTATACGATTCACAGGTTCGGGTATACCAGCGCCCGCCGCTGAGTGATCTTCTCCAGGAGGTCGGTTGCACAGCCTCGGACATAGATTACTCCAAGCTGGACCGATTCCCTGGGACTACAAACAAACTCAGCCTTGTCCGCGTGCATGACGGAGACCAGTGCGCGCAGTGCGCGCACGGATCGCTTACTAGCCACTCTGCCGTGGAACTAGGGCACACATTCCACTTGGGAACGCGGTACAGCAAAGTCCTGAATGCGTCTGTTTCTGTCAACCCCGCTCTTCTTGAGGGATCTGAAGGTTCCGGTGCGAAATCCTCGGGCAAGGAACGAATCGTCCCCATGCAGATGGGATGTCACGGTATCGGTGTCTCGCGTATGATCTCCGCAGTGGCGAACCGACTTGCTGATTCCAAGGGACTTAATTGGCCGCGTGCTATGGCACCCTACGAGGTTGTCGTGGTCTCAGGAAAGGGACTAGAGACCGTTGCGGATCAAGTATATGATACTCTTACCGGCGATGCCGCGGCCCCTGTCGATGCTATCCTCGATGACCGGGATAAGGGTATGGGCTGGAAACTTGGCGACGCAGATTTGATCGGATACCCTATTATTGTTGTTGTTGGCAATGGGTGGAAGAAGAAGGAGACTTTGGAGGTGCAGTGCCGTCGGCTGGGGGTGAAGGAGGACGTGTCGCTTGATGGACTGCGCACATTTGTCGAGTCCTTGTTGGCGAAACTGTGAATGGCTGGAAGCGACAGTATGTAATATTAGCAAGTCAATTTGTACATTATCTCATCTCCGATCTATTTATAACTGTAAGGCCAATTTGGTGGTTCCCAGACCTGGTTCCTGATCTTCTTAAAAATGACGCCACAAAAAAAAAGCTTGAATTATATATTTCTTACCTTAACTACAGCTGAGTTCCCCTAGTAGAAAGCATGAGTTCTAGGGAATATATTGTATGCTACCCACCTCAGTGCACAGTAGCGGTGTAGTTTTGTAATATAGCGTCAGCTTCTTGACAATCTGCAATTCACGCATATCAAAAAGTCCAACATTTCAATATCCACTTTTTCTCCGGATTTCACGTTTTGCGTAGTGATCGACTATTGAGGTCCTCGACGGGGTTCCCACGCCGAACACTCCGGTCCGAATACTCCGGTTTGTCATACTTGGACCCGCCGATATAGAAATGGCCTTGACTCATTAAAAAGGCATGTTAATTCTATCCTTTTGCTTATTTTCTATTTCCAATTAACCTATTCTTACAAGCAATTTATACCACACCATGACCCAAACCAACATTCACATCCCAAGCCTTGGCGGATCCAATGCCTTCACCCGGACTCTAAGCAAGGAAGACGTGAAGATCTGTGTAGCCGTCGAAGAAGCCTTTACAGAGGCGGAGCGATGCTCCGAAGAAAAGGTTAGCCAGAATCAAAGCCGAATAATCAATTCCCGCCTTATTCTGAATTGTTTCTTCTAACACGGATCAAGTTCTGCTATCGCCTGGGAGCATGTCCGGACCTATGCTTGGGTCTCTTTGTTGAGAATGAGCAAGATCCAGCTTCACCTACACTCATTGGACATGTCATTGCAGTGCGGTCTCCCTATACGCGTGTCACGGACGGATCGATGTCAATGCCGGAGAATTGGCGGTCACTCGATGATGAGCCTGTTTTTGTCAATGATGAGTTAATTGGAAATCATAAGTATGGTGATACCATTGCCATTCACTCTGTTGCTATTTCGCCCGAGTATCAGGGCAAGAAGGTTGGGAGGGCGCTTGTCCGGGCGTACCTTGAGCACCTTGGGAGGGGATGTTTTGGAGCGAGCAAGGTTGTGCTTATTGCGCATGACTATTTGGTGAACTTTTATGAGAGTGTTGGGTTTAAGAGCCAGGGGAAGAGTCAGTCTAATTTTGCTGGTGGTGTTTGGTTTGATATGGTATGTTTATTCGGGATGTGAACTAATGATCAGTGCTAATATGTGTCTACTAGACTTTTGATTTGGAGTGACCACACTTCTAGGTTGGATTTTTTGCGGTGTAGTCATATTATACAGGTTTCAAGGAACTTCACAGGCAATAAGGGAGATGGCACCCGGAATAAAGATAGTGCTGGGAATAAACATAGAATCTTTTGTGCTCTGTCTTCCAATTTGACCAATTCTTACTCACAATACCTTTTGTGGGCACCAAAACCGAAGGTTCCGTATCTTCTTTTCTCCAAGCTAGCTACTGGTCCGGATTTTGTCTATGCTGGATTGTGTTTGACGGCTTCGACGTCCCTTGGAGCCCTGTGGAGGTCCCTTCAGCCACTTCATATCTTCTAAGTCAATCATCATAAAGCATTCTATATCGGGATTCCAAAGCACGTTGCGGAAGGCTGCATCTTTCTGAATAACCCCATGCTCTTGAAGGATGTCCTCAAGTTTTCGCATCTCCTGTTCAAGGTACTGAGTCGTTTCATAGGTGGTATGTTCATCCGTTCGAATTCCAGACCAGCTGAGGGGCAGCATGTAGGTCATTTGAACCCCATGATACCAATATGGGATCTTGGGTTCAAACATCCCGAGACATACAGGAATTTGAGATCCCTGCAACGATTTCAGATTCTGATAGTTGCTCAATTCAGCTTTGATCCTGCGCGATTGGCTGTTGCCGGTGGCCTTGATCATCATCGTGTACCCATGAGACCGCAACGTTGCTTTTAATAGATAACAGGTTCGACCAACAATATGCAGCTGTTGGAATCCTTGATACCGATTTGCTCGAAGTTGTTCATTCAACCTATCGCAGATTTCCTGTGCGCTAAGCTGATGTTTTGCGATGCCATGCTCAGCAACGTTCGGGCAGTGTTCATCCAGAACTCCCTTTTCAAAGGTGCCGAGGAGGCATGCCTGGGAACAGTAAGGCTTGCAAATATCTGGCCCAGTGGTTTGTAAAGGAGGGTTCTCAGGACCGCTCGGTTTCATGTCTGCTTGCAGGAGATTTCCCCAGAATCTAGTCCAAAATGAGGCTTCATACATAAACTCTGCTGGTGGGCTGAATCGAATGTCATCCGGTGCTTGGGGCATGAGGAGTGAGTAATCGCCTTCCAGGGGACGATAGGTTTGATAAACTGCGTCATGCCATTCCTGCGTTGGTGGGGTGGTACCTAAAGATTGCAGTGTGAAAGCGAGGACTTGGCCCAAAGCCGTACGGCGAACCCAGTTTGATTGCGCATCATAACCATGAGAAGCGACGTCTCGACCAGGAACACAGAGATAATATTCCATAGCTGTACAGTCTTTTGGGTCGATGTGAAGAAACACCAAGGCCTCTCCGGTGTAGATATACCCATACTGGATTCCAGCGCCCATCATTCTTGAATAGAGCCGAGCGATCGCACGTACCACAATGGCGGTGGCATGTTCCTCAAATGTTTTGGGTTCCTTGTCGAAGATATCCACCGGTGATGTCGCGCGCAACCCCGCAACCAGCTCGGGCAAAGTCAGACAAAACGGTGGGACATACAAGACTGCATACGCTGGCTCTTCGAATCCGCCTTTCGCAACCGAAATGCAGCAATGACGCGGACGGTCGAAGTTCAATTTTCCGCGGGCATCGAACGTAAATCGCAGTGGCTGCTCATGTTCCATATAATTGACAATTATCGCGAGAAAGTCGTCCAGCGTTCTGTGCGCAAATTGCTTCAAAGTGTCTTCCGAATACACCGCGTACCATTTCACGAGCTGAGCAGTGTATTGGATGGAGGTTTGTGGGGGAAGATACATGAATTGACAATCTCGGGTGTATCGACGATTTTGTTCCAGATTTCTTCTTGGAGTTGAGGAAATTTAATCCAAGGCCGGAGCCACAGGGGGCTCAGTCGGTCATCTCCTGGGAACCAACTCTCTGGCCAAATCATCAGACGTATATCGACGCTTAGTGCTTGTGCAAAGATATGGTGGACACTCTCAAGATGTGGGATCAGTGTGGTGTTGGACGGGGTTGGTGGAACTGTGAACTGTATCTGCGTGGTCGAAGGTTCTGGTTTTGCTGGCCCTTCACCTATGCCGTCGATCAAATGTCGCCATTCTGTATATGTTTGGTCCATGACTGTAATGGATATGAAAATACAAGTCAAAGAATATTCCCCTGAAAAGGATGTGAGAAGTGTCTTTGACCTCGGGAGGTTGGGAATTTGAAGCTGTGTCGAGTCGTTCCTGCCAAAATCCCCTTTACTTACACGTGTCTGGTATATGATATCACGGCGTCAATAAGTCATCGAATAGGAGGTATATTAGAAATGTACTCTGCATAACTACATATGCAATGATACTAAAATCATTGCGGTTATCATGTAGATCACTCTACCTCATAGAATTAGAATACCGAGTTGCCAGTGATAAAAAAAAGTCATCAATCCAATAGTTGCAGTCCGAAGATATTCAGTATTAAGAACCCTGTGAGCATTTATTTGACCCGATCGCCCAGTGCAATGATGGGCGGTGGCCGGGCAATGTTCTTTCTCAAGATATATCGCTTGAACCACCACGGAAGCCACACAGTCAGTTCGTAGTGAATGAAGCTCTTGGTCGGCACCGCGAAGACCTCTGCAATGTATGTTAGTATATGATCAAGTACCTAGATTAGAGACTCGACTTACGATCCAATTCTTCTAGAGTCAGCTGCTTGGTCTCCCTGACAAAGCAGAAAATCATAAACCAAGCGATGAGGTTAAGACCGGCGTAGAAGCCAACTAATGCAAGGGTTAGAGATTTAGACACCACGGTCCAGAAGTGTCGACTTACAAGCACCAGTTTTGGTCATCACAGTCATCATTCGAGGGAAAGTTAGACCAAGGATACCAGCTGGAGAAGTCTTCGTTAACGGAATATTCGGTGGATTTGATGTTTGGAATACTCACCAAAGGTGTTGTTGATACAAACAGCCCACGCCATTCCTTGTTCACGCTGAATAGTAGGGAACACCTCAGCAGAGTATTGGAAAGCGACTGGTCCTTCACCTAAGGAGTAGGCAATAGTAAACAGATACACAAATCTAGTGGAAGACATCAATCAGCGTACGCTCAGACAAAATGAGAATAATTACCAAACTTACAAGGCAACTGGTGCAATTTTCCCGGCCTGGCTCGATGTGTCGTTCAAAAGAGAGAGACCAGCGGCTAGCAGGAATATGCACATTAAGGGGAATGTCTTTGCAAGAACAATGGTCAGTTGATATTCTGTCAGGATTTCCGGATCAACTCACAATCAAAGTCAGGGTTCTTCGGCCTTTGGTGTCGATCAGGAACAAAGTGGGGATGGTGGCCACGACCTGGATAGCACCGTAGCCAAGAGAGGCATACAAGGCTTGGTCGGGTGTGAAATCGGCATCCAGGAAGATGGTTGAGCTATAGAAAGAGATGACTAGAGAATGTCACTACTAAGTATTCTCACGAGTTGAGATATAACTTACTGTTGATACCGCACATTTGCTGCGCAAGCATAACCGTCGAGGCACCATAGTTGGCCCGTCTGATTCTGGGGACGGCAAAGCAGTCCCACAGACGGGAGAAATAACCTGCGCCCCGAGCCTCCTTGAGTTCCTCTTCATAGATAACGTATGAATAATAGTAATCTCGCGCAGCGATAATTGGATGAGCTCGCAAGCGCAACATCGACTGGAATGCTTCAGCGTGTCTGTTATGCTTCATAAGCCAGCGAGGAGACTCAGGGCAGAAAAGGATTCCGAGGGCCAGAACCAAAGAGGGAATAAATGCGGAACCGAGTTGGAGACGCCAAGAGATCTTGGGGACGTCTTTGACAATAACGTTGGCGGCAAAGCCCAAGAAAATACCTGCACTGGAGGTTAGCCATGCTTTTGGACAAGGAATGAGAAATAGTCACCCGCTACGACCCAAAGTTGCCAGAACATAACAAGAGCACCTCGAACTCTAGCCGGTGCCATCTCAGCCGAATAGATGGGCACAGTAGCATTCTTTGCACCGATGCCGATACCCATTATAAATCGTGCAGCGAACAGTTCTTGCCATGTCCGTGTAAAAGCAGATCCAATTGGCGTGGCAGTGAGGCAGAGAGCAGTGACGAAAATTTCACCTCTTCGGCCTAGATAATGGTTAAGTGGATCGACAATCCAAGCACCGCTATTTACAAGGTCAGTCGCATAGAAGAAAAGACATCACTGGTGCTATACTTACATCAGACCAGCGGTCAAGAAGATGATGGAATTGACGATTCCCACGATCCACTCATCCCTGCCTTCGCCGTCAATACCGAAGTCCTTCGGGAAGGATAAGTTGGCACCGTTGGATCCAGTCTGATCCCACCCCTGTGTGGCGGCTCCAATAGCACATAGACCAATTGAGTACCAGAGCATCCACGGGCCGTGCCATTTATGATCTCTCTCATATGCGAGTGCTTCGCGCTCCTCGTCATCAAGCTCATCAGCTGATGAGAAGTCTTGAGGGTTCCGCGCAACCACAGCAGCCCGACCAAATAGGTCGGCGTACTCAGCCATATTGCGCGACTCGGCGTACGCTCGGGCATCGATGATAGCTTGCACCTTGGAGCTGCGCTGTGGACACAAGTATAGTCAGCGATCATCCTCGAGACTATGAAATAGGTTCTCAGTTGTTGACTTACCATCAACGGATTCTGAACGATGTTGATACCGATGGCCTGGCGGCGCACAGACGCATCAGGGTCGTCGGCCTCATCTAGCTCTTTCTTAGAATCAGCCACATCTGACTCTTTCTTAGTATCGGCCACTTCCTCATACTGAGGGGGGGCCGGGTTGATTTTTTCATCCATGATGAAGAGCCTTTTGGTAGCTTTTCAAATTCTGGTGATGAGTTTACCTGGAAAATCGGGGGAAGGTTGGCTACCCCATATAAAAAGAGCACAAACTTCCCCATGGGGTGAGCTCATATGCAGATCAACCCCAAAGTAAACTGGTGGCTTTGTCCAAGGACCGCCAGATTTTACCACCCGTCAGCACTAAGCCCCTAAGAGAGATCCTAGCACACGAGCCCACGGGACGCCAAAATCTTACATTTGTAAACCCAGATAGGTCAAAATAATGTATAAAGTGAGGTTATAAAGAATGTAAGGGAGAATTCTCCGAATCGGTACTTCAAAATCAACCCCTGATCTGACAATAATTAACTACCATCGTGGATTTTCTGCGTCAAAGCGTATGCGGGGGAAGCAGGACGATCATTTGGGCCAAGCCTTGGCCTCTTTTGAGTCATGCGACATGTTACATCCATGTAAAGATTAGCATTTGTGTAGTCTTACATGGCTCCCCGTTTGTCGGCTAAATCCGTTTGCTTCCGACTATGACGAGCGTGTATAGAGTCAGCATCGGATATACCCGTTCACGGGTGGCTTTGGGGGCCAACCTTGGAAAGTGGGCGAAGCCAATCACTTGAACTTGGCAATTTCGCTCTTATTTGATCAGCCGCACAGTGATGTATACTATTGGAAGGTTGAAATATCATCTGAGGGATTAAATTACCTTCAAATTAATATTTCATGGAGCACCCATCATTTGAGGCTGATACATATTATATCATCGCCCACATGGGCAGTGGGCTGATAGGGTGGTTGCCTCGCACCTTGAGCAACATAACCCGTACCTCTAGATCCTCGAGGCAGACATTGACCCCCTCCACAAATCCAAATGTTCAACCATTTGAAGGACTCTTCTCTTTGCTTGGCTCGGGGATTGACTGAACCTACAAGACCCACCCCTCAGCCCGAAACTGAGAACCGAGTGCACGAGGTCCACGTCGCGAAGGTCTGAGGAGGTGGGGGTGTAATCAAGTTTGGTGGCTGGAAGCGCGGTGTAGCCGACTACCATGACTGGGCTAGAATAGTTGGAGGCCAGAGGTGGAGTTACGACGGATTGTTTTCATACTGTCAAAGAACCGAGTCACCTTTTGGTAGCGAAGATCCCAAGTAAACCGGGTTTGATAGCCTGCTTCATATCACCTCAGTCTTTCAGGGTGACCCCAAGCGACGATGTCAGAGCTCGGTAAGAGCGTGAACAATCATTTTGCGTCCCAGTTATGAAAATTACGCAACCTGGCGCGCACTGGGGGGCCGTGTTCTCTTCGATCCCGCGTTCATAATGAACTTTGCGACAGATTGGAAAGTCAACCAGGCCAAATTATAATGCGAGGTACAGCTCCTAAGTAGACGAATCCCTCCTAGAGGCAGACCAAGGCTCTAGAGATTACCTAATCGTCTATGTCCTATTCGGGGTCCTAGCTGCTCCACTAAATGGCAACTTTATCATGACCTCAATCATGAATGTTTTATCAGCCTATCAAAAGATCTATCTTTGGGCTCTTTGGGAAAAATCATTTTGTTTGTGTATAAGCTATTCATAAATTCATATGGCGAAAGGCAGAGTTGAACTTCGTATCTTTGCGTCAACAATTTGGTCTGTTCCTTTCCTTTCTGACTGGGAGTTTTAATTGTTCTTAGGCACTTGCTTTGTCTTTTTTTGTTTCTATATGAAGAGAAACAATATCTTGAAAGCAAAATTCTTAATTAGTTCATGGATAAAGGCCTTGTTTGCATTTGCCGAGTATCTCAACAATGCATGGCTTTGTTCTTAAAAGTGTGTCCTTGGAATATAATGTCACTCTTTGTGCCTCCCAAAATACATAGAGCATGCTTGAAATAACCTCCAAGTAACCTTCCAGGTCAAGGTCACAAAGAGCCTCTCCAGTATTTAGTAGTCAACAAATTCCACTAAAGCGTCATTATTTTCCAACAATTCAATCCAATCCAATCCAATCCAATCCAATCCAATCCAACAATCTAACAATCCAGCATTTCAACTAACAGTCCAATAGTCTAACATTTCTGTACGCTATCTCCTAACATGTCTCGAGTCACCTTCGAGATCAGAGCCAGTGTGTCCCCTTCGAAGGCTGGTCTTGTCTTTGCAGCAATTGGTGTCGATATCGACACAAACCCCCAAGATGAAGACGCCGTCCTCCACTGGATTCGAGATATCTACAATCCTGTGTTGTACAATGGTCTCTCCTGGGGAAGTGACTGGAGGGAAATTTTCAAAGGTAGAAGGGCAACTGAGATCAAACGTAGGTTCGCCGAGAGGCTTTCTGAGTTGCCAGCTTCAGTTCTTGCTCATGTCCCAGATCCAAGAGAGCTTACTGAGCGTTTGTGGGATGTTATTCGATTTTGCCGCTTCACTGACCCCGCATGGAGAGTCACCGATCCTGCTTATCCTATTCATTATTTTCGTCCTGTTGCTCCTGTTGCTCCTGTTGCTCCTGTTGCTCCTGTTGCTCCTGTTGCTCCTGTTGCTCCTGTTGCTCCTGTTGCTCCGACCCTTGCTGATACAAAGGCAGCAACAGCAATAGTATCACCAAATGCTCCTGCTCCTACTCCTGCTCCTGCTCCTATTCCTCCTCTTCCTGATATGGATACTACGATCCCTGTTCCTGTTTTTGATCCTGTTACTATTCTCCCTCTTCCTGATATGGATACTACAATCCCTGTTCCTGTTTTCGATTCTGGGACTATTCCTCCTCTTCCTTATATGGACACTACGATTCCTGTTCCTACTCCTGTTCCTACTCCTGATCCTGTTACTGCTCTTATTCCTTGGGTTTATTCTACCAACCCTACTTACAGTCCTCCTCTTCCTTTCATGGACCCTATAATTCCTCCTCATACTCCTACTCCTATTCCTTTTCCTGACACCCCCCCTCCAGCTAACTCTGAACAGTTCGTCCCTCGTTCTGTAGCTAGCTCTTCACCATGGAACTACGATGTGGCCGCTGCGATGGCAGCCCCAAGTCCGCCTCGTATTGTGCCGGAGACTTTGCAAAACTATATCATAAGTGCTAATCGCAAGCGGAGTATAGATATTAAAGTGGACGAAGAGGTTCTCTCGCCACATCGGAAGAAAGCACGCACCTCTCGTGAGTCAAAAGGTAAGGCTGAATGGACGACACTCACTACTCTGAGTGACTCGGATTCAGAGAAGAGTGAGCGAACTCTGGATGCGGATGGCGATATCCAGATGCGTGATGGTAAGGCTTATAAGGTTTATAAGATTGCTAATAAGCCTGATGAACCAGAGAATAAGGCGTGGGGTTCTAAGATGCGAGATTATTTCTCTGTTTTTGGCCGTAAAACTCCTGATGAAGACCGGGAAGATCTCTCAGATTTTGAAATGAGGGATGCCGGGGAGACTTCCGAGGAGGATGAGGGTAACAAGAGTGAGAATTATGGGAGTGAGAATGAGTTTGAGGTTGAGTTTGGGCTTCTACCTGAGGTTGAGTCTAGCGGTGATGAGGATGATGAGGAGGATGAGGAGGAGGAAGACCAAAGATGATTATGATACATAGACAATGCCAGATTTTGGCATCATTAGATTTCACATTTGATATTTTACTTGATTGCATAATAGAAAGCAGTCTTTGTTGTCAATATTCGATCATTTGATACAGCGAATATTCCCTTCTTACTTACTTCCTATGTGTTAAATAATGCTGGTATGCAAGATCCCGCCATCTATATGTGATATATTACAGCGCCTATATACAATATCACATTACCAACTAGCCTAGATATGCGGGCTAGCGAGGAATCTCTTGACCACCATGACCCAATTGCCCCTGTATTTACCTGTGTTTTGCATTTAGATTGTCATATAATTCCTTCTGCGTTCCATAGTTCTGAATCCAGAGATCTGATGCCAGAGATCTTGCACTTTATGGTTCTTTTTCTTGGATATTCCTCCTCACTTGTATTCGTCCAATAATTATAGATACAGATGAGGTCCTTCTTTATGTGGATCCACAGGTGGTTGAAGCGGTTCCATATCTGATGTTGAATCCCCGTAGAGATATGATAGTCAAGGCTTTATAGTATATCACATGTTATATTATGTTCATTCACTATATTGGAAGCAAACTAGGGTCCGAAGCCAGCAAAGAGGGATGATACGCGAGGTTCTCCCAAAAGTCAGTCTCAAAATCACACAGATCCTGGCTGAAAAATGCAGCCCAATCACCATTCTCCCCTGGATGCGATGGGAGTTGCGTCGGAGTGTGTACCCCTTCGCGGTGTATAGAATCAAGGAATCTTTCAATTGTTTGGGTGGCTTTGGATATCAAGGCGTAGTTTGGATCTCCACGCCGAACGATGCTCCCTACCTGGACCTGCGCAACAAAGATACCGAGGTTGAGTATTGTTTTGGACCAGGAGGATCTTCCTTCGGTTAGTGTGCGGTGTTGTTTCAGCATTGAAAGGAGGATAATCCCTGCAGCCGGGAGGCCGTAGTGGGCAATCTAGTAATGTTTTAGTCCAGTAATTAAATATTTGAATCCCGAAAACAGATAGGTATACCTTCCAAACGAGTCCCGTGCCAGAGTTGACCAGTTGATCTCGTAAAAGAATAGTTTCCACTACAAGAGCGAGCATTTGATCCGAGATGTCGAGTATAGATGGGTCGGGCTCGGTCAGGGTATCGAGAAACGACAATTGAAGTAGAAAGAGAACATGTAGTTGGTCCAGGCGTATGCTAGCTAGAAAGGCACGCTCAAAGGAATCCCCAGAGCATTCTTTCAAAGTGGTCGAAAGTCGGAAGCGAGGGGGTAGGTTTGCCCATTGAGTTTCGGCATTTTGTCGGATCATACTATGTCAAACACCATCATAAGCCAGCGATCCCACCTAAGTTTATATAGATCCAACTTACCTAGCTTTGTGATTGAAATTCGCGCGATGCTTAGATCGAAGCAATTCGAGAATATCTTCTTTCAGTGCGGCGCAAAGGGTCGCCCACCGAATACCTGACCTATAACAGACCGGTGTATCTGCTTTCCACCTGACGACCTCGTCTTCAACGTGTGAAGTGTTGGAAACCTGATCCGAGCTTGTCGGGGTCAAAGGTAGTTGAAAGTGACAGAATCGCTTGCTCATCCGCGGTGGCCGACCAAGAAATATAGCCACATTCTTGTCCGCAGAATATGTGGTAGCCCATGCTGCCTTTCGCAGTTCGGCAAGAAAAGTCGGAATTGGTGGCTTGGTTTTTTCGACATTCTCATGGTAGCCAAGTGCAAACATGGACGAGACAACATCTCCAAGTCTACTCCACGAATGATAGCCTGGATTCTCAATGAGTTGCAAATTTTTACAGACAAAATCAAGGGAGAATTCTTACTTTGGTCCCCATCAACATGGGTGTGTACAATAAAGTTCTCATACTGTAGAACCAGTTGGAGATCATTTAAGCAATCCAGCGAGAGCGCGATATCTAACGCAAGATCACTGAGCTTTGTAGATAGTTTCCGAAGCATGAACTGATCCTTTTCAGTTTTGAACAATGCCGGAAAGAATGATATGTCGATCGAAGCTCGGGTCACAGCAGAGAGGAAGATACCTAGACTTTCCCATCTAAATTTCTGGTCGAGAAACTGGGCAGAAAAAGCTTCCATGTCGGATGTGCTACTAAACACCAAAGGTTCCCGGGAATTTTGTGTTAGACGTTGGGCATATGCCAAATGCCAGTTGTCTTCCTGTGAGAAGGACGTGAATAGACGCGTCATATTTTCAGTACATCTCTCGGTAAAATGCTCTGCCAGAGCTAGATTCGCTCCCGTTGCCAGCCAAAAAGTAACAAAGTCCTTCATGGCGGCTAGAGGAAACGTGTTTAACAACTGTCTGAGAATATCCGCGCCTTGGATTAGCAAGATATTCTCGCCAGTGGACTGCGACTGCATCAGCATCGTCATGTCCTCGGAGGCATGGTAGGTGTCCGATGCATGATAATCTTGCGGGGAAATTTCGTTGAAGATAGCGACATGGCTGGATGATCCTAGAAAGCCGGGGTTTGGATAGGGGTTATTCCTTGGGGTGAAGGATGGTTGGGCCGGGGGTAGCCGACTACAGAGCCGATAAGTATGTGAAAATAAGATAATATGAATCACATACCTAGGAGACTGTGAAGATGTAGAGCTCTCCACTCTTCTTCTCTTAAAGGGGGTCGTTCGGTAAATGCAGATTCCAGCTCTATCATTACTTGCACACCGAGTACATGCCGGTCGCTTATGATCACAGGCGACTTTTGCCTTTCTGCAAGCTTCACATGCTGCGAGTCTCGAAGCCATTGTGGTAAAGAAGGATTACGGAGCGGAGCGGAGAACACGGTCATCGGAGTGTGAATTTCCCCGCAAATGGCATTCTATTGAATGTAAGGGAGTTTTCGACAGATGGACAATAGGCCAACAGCTTCCTTTAATCAAATTAGAGGCATCGGACACTATATGGCTATAAGCTTAAGACTTTGGTTATAGTCAAAAATATGATCTGTATAGGTCAAAGTAGTTAGGTGCGTGTGCATAAATACAACCCGCCACTATTCCGCCCACCCACACTTAACTCCACTATCACCACGCATGCGACCCAGCAGTTTTCTGAAGCTCCCCCACCACCTATACAGTCCCTATACAGTCCCAATGCGAGGACGTGATCTACAATAAGAAAATCAATCCCCCACTCTATTCTTCCCTCCTTTCCCTCCTAATCCCAATATGTCGCAAAACGCCCCCTCAGACGGAGCTCCCCAGGGCCAAGGTGTGTCTCCAATCGCCCAACACCAAGATGACACTGGGCATCCAGCTCTCCGTGCCATATGGAAATAAAACCCAGCTAACAACCCGGAACCAGTCAACCTCGCCTCTCTATCCGTTCCTCAGCTCCGCGCCCTCCAAACCCGCCTCACCTCCGAACTCGAACACCTGACCACCTCGCACACGAAGCTGCGCGCCGCCCAAGCCAAGTTCCGCGACTGTGTGCGCTCGATCAATGACGGCGTGACTGGAAACGAGAAGAAGGGAACCAATGACCGTAATGAGATCCTCGTGCCCCTTACCAGCTCGCTGTACGTCAAGGGCCGGTTGACGGATCGCGAGAAAGTGCTTGTTGATGTTGGAACTGGATTTTATGTTGAGAAGGTATGTCGCGGCGGGGATATGTGTAGAGATGTCGACGATTGGGGCTGACGATTTGTTTTTTTTTTGGCAGACTGCGCCTAAGGCGATTGCATTCTATGATGAAAAGGTCAAGGGCTTGGAGGCAAACTTGCAAGAGTTGGAGAAGATCGTACAGACCAAGAGCTCGCAACTGCGTATTGTGGAAGAGAGTGAGTTTGATCCATTTCCTGGATAAGAGGGGGCGGGATTCCTGTTGTCTTACGAGGCTCTTTTCTTTTCATTTGCTAACCTCTCTCCTACAGCATTGAGGCAGAAGATGCTCGCCGAGGGTGCTCCTCAGGCTCCTCCGGGCTAAACTCGACCCAGGTGGTACGAATAGGCCAACATGACTCATAGACAAATCGAAAACATATACAAAGGTTCTATCTCACCATTTTGGAAGCAAACTGGATATGAAGTATAAGAAGAACGAGAAGGACTACGAATCCAAAGCTGAAGGGGTTATCCGATATTGGAAACCAGGAATAACTTCAAATAAGAATTGAACTATTATTGCTACATACCTAATCATCTTGGCTTGATAAGCAAACCAGACGGTAGAGATATTTGTATTTGTTTTCCCTTTTTTTGTCATTTTGTGTCATTTTCCTTCCGTTTTTTGCCTTTTCTTTTCTCTGACTTGGCCATTGTCGTCCCACGAGATCTGACAAGTTGAGATGATTCTGTTGACATCGACTAGAACAGACTTCCAAGATCAGTCTCAAGGATATTATCGGACATCTCACCGCCGGGATTCCCCAGCATTCGTGCGATCTTCTGGACAGTGCTCATGAAAAGGCCCAGTTGCTCCTCCTCGTTCTTTTTTCGGAGTTCGGCCTCCTTACGAATCTCATCGTCCGTTTTCTCCCTTTCATTGTCCGTCTGTTCCTGATCAACCCCCGGCCCGGGGAAAAATACTGACAGACACCCATTTTTGGAAATATCGTCAGCACTGACTTCAACCTGTTCACCTAGTATATCGTCCCAACTAGGATTGAAAAGCGATGCACCCCAGGACACTTTGGGAGCCATCGACCAGTGACCAGCCGCATACGTGTACTCGTCGAAGCGGGCGAGCTCGAATACATGCGGCGAGTCTTTGACTTGGACTTGAATTGCGGCCTTCTCGACGAAGCGCTTGACTGGCGAACCATAGGAAAATCTCGCCTTGCGCTGGGGTGCAGATCCAATGCTCTTTACATTTGTGTTCCATTGGAAACCGATAGAACGCATGAATCTGTCTAGCTCGGGGGTCATCTCCTTCTCAGGGCAGAGTTCAAGAGCCTTCACTTCAAGTTGCCAGTCGGATCTGAATTCAAACTTAGTTTCGTGGTTTTTAACAGGATCTAGAGTAAACAAA